TTAAATTAAATTTATCACTATAATATTTTTTTTCTAAAATTAATATGTAAAAAAATATCGAGAATTATTATAGATTAATATTTTAATTTTAAAATACTTTAAAAAATAAAATTATGCAATAATATAACTTTTTAAATATAGTTTTTTTATAATTATTTTGATTAAAAATTAAAAATTTTATTTTCATATTATATGATTAAATTCGTATGAACTAAATTTTTATAATTTTAATTTTTATCTTTTTTTATTACATCCATATAAATTTAATAATAGTATTAAATTATCACGGTGGTATTTTTTTTTTTTAAACATTTTTGAAAGAAAATAATATAACAAAAATAAAGTCAATATTATTGAAGATATAATAGATAGATTAAAAAATTAACAAATGACCAAACTAATGATACCTATTGAGAAATAAAAGTTATTAAAATGAATAAAGCAATTATCTTATGTGTACTATTCAAGTCAATATAAGACATATATGAAAAAAAAAAAAATTGATAGAAATAGAGAGCAAAATAAATATATTTAAGTTTAGAGACCCTTTTTTTTTGTCTATATTTATATATTTACTATCTACTAATTTATAATGACCACTTCATAATAAATATTTGTACCTTGTAGAATTAATAAATATTTTTAATGGTTTAGGGTGTAAATCTCTATAATGATTGATGTGGTGAATTTAAACTTTTATATAGATAATAAAGTTTATAAATTTTGACGAATTTAGATGTAGAAAACGCGTCTCGTTTACATTTATAATCATTAATACAGTAAAGTATATGAACAAGTTTACAATTTATTTGAACATATTATTTTAAAATATCGATAAAATTATAGACAATTAAATTATTTATTTTTTCTATATTTGAAGAAAGATATTTAAAAAAAAATAAACAAGTGTAATTTTTCTAAAATAAATGTAATATTTATGTAATAAAATTATTTATATAAAAATCGTAACCCCGATTAGGGATTTCGAGCTTTTAACTTAATAATAATAAAAATAATGCCGAAATTTTTATAGAGCGTGAGAATTAAGGTTCAAATATTATATTCCTTACATGTTTACTTAAAATGCTCAAATATGAGCTAAAGAAATGTTCAGAACTTAAAATAAAAAAATTATTATAAAGTAATTATTAACCTTGATTCGGATTTGATGAGCGAAAAGAGATAGTGTTTAGCTAGTCTATTTGTAAAGGCCCAAAACATTTATATTAAAAAATAATATTAACATTTATAAGTTTACAAAAGCAGTTTACTAATTTTAAGTGTTACATTTTTTGTACGGTTTAATTAAAATGCTCAATAGGGCTACAGAAATTTCCCTTAAGAAAATTAAAAACGTAAAAGAAAGAGAAATGCAAACTTAAGACCTAATGCGATCAACCTCCGCTGCGTAACTGGAAAAAAAAATACGAGGCAATCTTTTATTTTCTAACTCTCTTATTGCTCAAGATCCGAATCTTAATTGTTCTTGTAGCACCCGGAAAGGAGGAGAAAAAAAAAAAAAAAAAAAAAAAAAAAGGGGGGCCACGTCAGCAGCCGCGTCAGCAGCCACGTCAGCAGTCCCGGCCAACCAGGGCCTGCCACGTGGCAAGACCGCGTCACTCCAAAAGGAGCCACGTTGGCAATCCGCGTGGGTGCGATCCGACGGCCCAGATCAATCACGCGATCGGACGGCCCAGATTCAATCGCACGGACGGCCCAGATTCAATCAAAAACGAACGGCCCAGATTAAAACAAAATGAACGGCTGTGATCAAAAGGCAAGGGGTTATAAATAGAACCCCCACACCAGACCACAAACCCTAGCCGCCAGCCGCTCGCCGGAGAAGACGAACCAGAGGCCGACCGCCGCCACCCGCCGCCACTCGCCGCCGCACCGGGGAAATTTCCGACCGCCGATCGAGGTAAATTTCATACCCCCGACTCGTTTTTCCCCACTGATTCCTCCTATGGCCAAATCGAAACCGAAATCCCGGCCAAACGGCCGGAATACGCGGCCGAAGCCCAGCGGCGCCGCCGCGCCCCCTCTCGGTTTTTTGCCTCCGACGAGGCCCTTCCCGGCCTCCGTTCGATGCAATTTTTATATCACCGTGATCACCATTCTTTTCTCTATAGGTTGACCGGAGCCGAATCACCAAAACACGAACCTCGCCGGAGAGCCGCTGCACCCGAGAGCGCCGCCGCCGGTAAGCTCCGTTTTTCCGTGATTTTTTGGCCCCCCGAGGGCCCTAGGGCTGTTTTCTGACAAGGACCAATGCGAGTGTGGCCGAATTCGGCCGAAAACGGCCGAAAACAGTCAACCCGAGGCGACTCGCCGCCGCCAGCGGCGGCGCCGTCGCCGGAGCACGGCGGAGCCGCCGTGCCGGAGTTGCGATTTGGTCCGAAAGGGGCCCTGGGCCTAATTTGGATTTTTTTTTTGGAACACGTGCAGGTACTGTTAGTGTGTTTCAGTTCCCCGGGAAAAATTCAGGGAAAATTAGGGAAGGCCTGCAGGCGCACTGTGAATCGTATTCGGATCTCGAAAACAAGTAAGGACCCCTCACCCTATTTCCTATCACGGTATTAAAGTTCAAAATGATAAAACGGTATTTCTTGAATTAACGCATGTGTGAAACTGCTTAAGGTTGCTAATGGAGCCTGAGTCTAGTGTGATTGATGATGTACTGTTATTTGGCATGTTTACAGCTTTAAATGCAAAGTGAGGTTTGATGTGTTCATTTTACAGATTTGTGTGCATGTACTACGTTTTTATTAATTATGGGTTGAATGACTGAAAAAACTGATATTGTATGTTGTCTGTTGGTATGAATTACGATTTGCTTGTTTAAATGTGAATTGATGATGTTGATTGAGGAAAAGGAAAATGAAAGATTGTATAGACTGATAATTGTATTATGGGGGTCAGCCTGACTAGATATCCTGGGAGATGGTGGACGGACCGGGTCCGTAGGGAACCCTACCGGGATTGTGGTCTCACATGCCGGACGGGGTATGGAGATCTTATGGTTTTGGCGCCCATACCGGACGGGGTATGGGGACGGCCCGTTTCACCCTCATACCGGACGGGGTATTGAGGTTTATGGTTTTGGCGCCCATACCGGACGGGGTATGGGGACGGCCCGTTTCACCCTCATACCGGACGGGGTATTGAGGTTTATGGTTTTGACGCCCATACCGGACGGGGTATGGGGACGGCCCGTTTCACCCTCATACCGGACGGGGTATTGAGGTTCATGGTTTTGGCGCCCATACCGGACGGGGTATGGGGACGGCCCTGGAAACTGATTATGAATGTTAAAGGTTAACGGGTAGCGGAACCCCTATGGACCCCCACGGATACTAGTAGGCTGGTAAATGAGAAAAGGATATGTTGTACAATGATTGAATTACAAGAGGCGTGATAAGTGTTATGTTTTACAGCTTAGATTATTCAATGATTATGATGATGTTATTGTTTTTCTCATATTGTTTTCATAAATTCCACCAAGGTAAGTGGATGGTAAAAGTTTTATTATTGATAAAAGGTTTTATTGTAAATTATGCTCCATTGGTCTTTTGTGTTTTTCTACCCACCTTTACCTCCGTGACGGTGAGATATCGTGATGTTCTTACTGGGCTAGTGTAGCTCACTCCTTATTTAACCATTTCAGATCAGGAAGACATGGTTCCCGAGCCCGTTCCGCAAGAGGACGACGAAGGGGATACCTAGAGACTCTGTAGTCATACTCATAGTTTTATTTTCGAGTTCTCTCTTA